AAATGAGGGACGACTCAGTCAGCAGGTCATACCGAACGCTCCGTCCCTCCGTCGGTCTTGGCCCTAGGGCCTCTTTTCCATGACGGGACAGTACCTTTAAATGTTAATGCAAAAGATCGTGCATTGGTTGGGCTCTGTGCTGATCAGGGCTTACAGTGCCCAACAAGGAACCCCGTGCCGGCAATAAGGCGAGAGTCGGCTATGGGCACATTTGCTGAACGAGACAAGAGCGGGCCTCAAATATGAAAGGCTTCTTGCGTTGGTCATGACCCTCTTGGCAGTGGCAGGGGCATGGGGAAAGTATAATGAGAAACGATGATGAGAAAAAAGGACGAGGGGCCCTCCGTACCGTCTCAACAAGGAGTCACTGGTCGATAAGGCGAATTGTGTCCCGATGACAGTCACGCATCGGACTCCTGGGGCTTGTAAGGGAGCCTTTTGTGTCGGTAACGTGTTCCTGCGTCGACCCTGCGCCAGATGCTCACGTCAGAGAGCCTGCCACATCAGGATGGGACCGGTGCATGATGCATCCCTCTGAGGCCCCCGGGGTCGACCAGGGCACCCCAGTCCCCGCATTGCCAGAATACCAGTTGCTATTTACCCTGGGCCGGGACGAAAGGGTTCTTCAGCTCCTGACCAGGAAGATTCACGTGTGCGATTTGGAAGTAGATCCTCTGAACGGAATTAGCAGTTACAGCATCACGAGAAATCGAGATTACGCCATCGCGTCACGAGTCCGTGGTGCTGAACATTGCTAACACAATATGAAAATACATAGACGATTATATACGAAAGACGTACGTTTTACATGTTGCCATTTGCGTACAATTCCATTAAAAGATATGCCTCTTTTCAAGCTATTATTACGTCACATTACAAAAATCTTATAGGTCACATGTGAGACGATTTTACGTGCCGGGTGCCCAGTATACCTGGTATTCTCGTTTTGATATCAAGAGCTCATACTGTTTTTGCGTTGCCGTCACATTCTTTAAATAGAATGTGAGAAATTGTCGTATCCTTCAAGGTGCTTGAAACATGCAGTACAAGATTTGAATATCCCCGCGTTAACGACACAAAACGTGCTGCCATATTTCAGGAAGCACCGGTCCCATCCGTATGTTTTATTTCAAGAAAAAACATCACGCCAAAAGTCTACGAATTTTAATAGTTTCGCTGCTTTCTGCCACCACCACCGACATTTCAATATTCGCGTCATGACATGTTACTCGAGTGGCATTTCAAGCTAGACATCGTGTATAAGGTATTGTTTTTGCGTTTAACCACTCACTGTGACGTTTGATTCCCCGCAGTCCTCGCCCTCCCCGCCAGGATGGGAGGAAGTCGGCGCCACATAGTCTCAGAAGCGACGTACGCCCCAGCGACACGCAAGCATTCACTGCGAGGTTAGCAAATTACAAAATGCAGCTTATCGTGGGTTTCGTTTTGCTTAAGTCCTTATGTTATATATCGGTACATTTTTTCATTCCAAATCGTGAATCCCTACAACTTCTTCTTTTACTTTGAAGAGCTGATAGGGCGTAGAGTCAGGCTACACATTGTGAAGGCAGAGCAAAAGGGGGCGGCGGCTTAACGTTGGGGTGGGGGGGGGGGCAGATCAACAGCGGGGACCTTGCCTCCAAAATAGATTGAAACGTGTATCCCTGGTTCTTGGCGTGACGTTGCGTCATCAATATGTTGATGTGGGTTAGGCCTAGAAACCTCCATGGTGCGGGGCTTGCGATGGGGCAGAATTTAATATCGCCAGCTGCCAGGCATTCTAGGTGATTTGTACTAGCCATGTCTAACTTTACAAATCACGAGGTCACGGGTTAATCGCTGAGTTGACCAAGTTACCTGTTTGCAAAAGGCGGAATATGGTACTGTTGTGTGATCTAGCGGCGTGATTCGAAAAACCGGTACTGTCGAGCCATCAGGCGACAAGAAACCGGTACTGTCGAGCCATCTGGCAACAGGAAACCGGTGCTGTCGCGCCATCTGGCGACAGGAAACCGGTACTGTCGAGCCATCTGGCGGCAGGAAACTAACTTAATTGAAGGTGTCGCGATCGCGGGATGCTATAAACATTGGATGTTGTGAATTCGGACGCCGCAAGTTTGAGTGTTGTGAACTCCGCCAACGATCTCAAAATTTCACGCATTTCGGATGTTATAAACGCTGGATATGATGACATTTTGATCGACTATATGATGACATTTTATGACAACATTAACACTGCACACTGCGATCTTGGACGCTTTGATGGTTCCCGCTGCTTCGATGTTCGAAATACGCAGCTGTGTGCTGTCTGTGACTTCGCGTCCACGGCAAACCAGTGTTGAGTGAATAGCCACGCTTCGGGTGTCAACCGGTTAGCGTCCAGTTCAAATATATCCAAGCTGTGGGAGTCTTCAAGATGGTAACGAGGCTGCTCTTCTGAGTGTGACCACGCTGCGGTTATTTAGCGTTGGGATTATGTGCTACGACAATTATATAAGCGTGTCTGCTTTTACAGTGGCCAGTAAATGCTGCCTAAACAGAACCCACGCATTTTTATCATGATTCCAGTGTCCATTCCGTTCGGTCACTTTTGCCTATTGGATCTGTCATTACAATACGTATAAACATGCGCAATGCGAACTCACTCTGTACGTAACGTGGATACATTATGTCTTGATCCAACGAGGGCAGTGGGAGACCCAGTTGTATATCACCACTTGTTTATATTTGGGAGCACTCATAGGTAAACCTTTTAGTTTTGCCAGCTTTTGAATCTCACGTATCGCGGCTCTGAACTTATTTTGTAGTTCATCCTGTGTCCCGCTCTCATATTTCAGAAAGTCTAGTGTGAGCGCTAAGTCATGACAAATGTGGACGAAAATATATATCATGGAAACGGTCCCGGATACATGTATTTCCTCTCGTACTTCACGAAGGCGCCGACCGTGCACAAACGACATTTATCGGTGACCTGCGTCGCCAAGTAAAGAACGGGATCTGGATGGATATATTTCTATCTTGACAAGGAGGGTATCGTGTGGGCATGCGTCACAGCTGTCGATATCTCCCTGTTCAAGCCTCCTGCCGTGTAGATAACGAATATCAGATGAGATAACAGGATAATCGGACGGCGGAGGATGGGAAGACGACGCGCTCAGGCCGTCTACATGATTGTGCGTCTCATTTTCAGACACAGCACGTTGCAGACACAGAGCTCGGCATCACGTGAATGGAGGGCCATCTTTTCCTCCCTGGTGTGAGGTATTTACCACACAAAGTTTTTTGTGAGCATTATCTTCACCAGGAATCGTAAAATTGTATCGCATGAGTACAAACATATCTCTGAATTTGTGACAGACACACAATACAAAACCCTGAATTTGCGACAGACGTGTAATACTAAATTCTGAATTTGCGACAGACGCGTACGCTAATTTCCGGGCATCTTCTGATTTCCGAATATGCTCAAACGTGTAAGCAACCGAGAAAACTGAGGCTGAAGGTAAGATGGAGAAATATGCCTGTTAGTTAAACAAGACCCTACAAACACATTTTTGTTCCAGTCGTAATGAATTTCCTTAACCATCTTGCAATGAGCACTATTGGGCGCGCCACCACGGGAAAACGTGTATGTCAACCAGCGCAGCGGCGGCGACAGTTGCGATGGGGACAGGGCCTGTCTTTTCATCCTCCAGTTTGGCGACCCACCCGGGGCACGACCTCGCTCAAGCACCAGTCTAGCTCGCTGGCTGCCGAACCTGACCAAAGATGGTAATGGACTTGCCCACCGTGCTCGGGCGGGATGCTAGAAATGAGCGGAATGTGAGCCTGCAGTGCCAGAGGGCCTAAAACGACGGGGATGTGGGGGCGTCGACAATGGAGGCAGGTGTGCACGGCGGGCGTAAGCAAGCATGTGTGCCTGACCAACATCAATGAGAAAAAGTAGTGCCAGGAATCGTTCTAGCACGCCGCGGGTGCGCGAGGTACTGCAAGAGTATGCGATTTTGTTCTGCAGTCGCATAGCTGGTCACAAGTCGTCGCCATATACCGGTCGTTTCCAGGCCTTAAACGAGTTACGGAATAGCCGATAGCGAGGTCCGGTGATGGCGTGTAAACTTTGCCGATGTCAGTCATGCAGCAATTGCTCCGGAAGATCAAACACGTCCCGGCAAAATAGTACATCCGCTTCTGGCGTTGAAAGGGAACGTTTCGCCTTTAATGAGGTTTTGAACGGAGGTAGCCAAAGTTGAGCCTGAAGTTGACGTCGAGAGATGACTTTGAGAGGTTAGGACTTTGGACGGACGCTAGTTCATGCGCTTGTGAGCATTCTGATGACTGGAAAGCTCAAATCGGTCGGCAAGCTTTTGGTGGCATGGAATTCCCGTCCTTTGACCTGACGTTTGACCTTGAAGGTTGCATGACATTGCAAAATGAGCTCATTTTTTATGTTCCCGTGCCATAGTTGGATTCGTGGCCTATTTTCAGAGAAATCGGAACCTGTTGCTGAATAAATCACTGAATAGATCGCCAATTTCACGGACATAGCGACAGGGGGTCACATCCACCTCCTGCTACCGGTACGCGTCATGAAAAGGGCGAATCAAGGCGAGGGATGAAACGCGCCCTGCGCGCGTTTCGGCTTCGGAAACCTGGGTTGGAATCAATATCATGTCCGTGTCCCAGGTATCTATAATTTTCAAGTCAGGGCTCACTGTCGACCCCTGGTGTCCGAGTCCAAGTGCAATTCGCACCGTCTTGAGTCTGGGTGATAGCCCACGCTTTTTAAGCCGGTGAGTGCAAGTGCCATTCCTTTCTAAAATGAATCGCTTTCCGAAAGTCCGAGTACCGAAAGGTCATGACTCCGAGCCCTAGTCTGACCAGATTCAGCAGAAACATAATGAAAGCGTTTAGTCCATTCAATGCTGTTGTCAAGATTGCAAGCATGTAGTAAAGCCAAGTATCTTTATATGTATCGACAGATCAGTTCACGAAAGAGTGCCTTATCGCGATATACATTTATTTTATTTACACACGGGCCATGAGAATGTTTAGCCTCGCTTCCTGGCATCGTTATTCTCTTTTCCAAACATATGATCTTAGACTTAATTAACGTCATTGGATCAATCCGAAACGTCTTCCTCATCCCTTCCGTAACCTCTCATCTAAAAAAACGGTGTATCACCTTCAACGCAGGGCTAATGACAGGCATCTTCACGGCAGCTGAAGGCAAGCGTTTCAAGCGGATGCGGATCGAGGGACGGAGGTAATTGCAGTGGATTATTTCATGCAACGCCATGGGCGTGCTTTTAAGTTTCATTATTACTGGTGAGAGGTGGGCTCCCTCTCCGACGTGGCGGCACACTGCATCACGGCTGAAAAAGGAGTCATCTGCACGTGATTCATGAAATGGAAACCTCGTGAACGGGAAAGTGTAGGTTTTGTAGCCTGCGAACTGATTATCACAACCTGGACAGCGTGCGTATCTTCAGCGGCGAACGACACGACAGTATGGCGTGAGCTGGACAAGTAAGTGAGTTATAGCTCACTTTGCATAAACTACATAGCTACGTTGGTCCGAAGCGCCCTCAGGATGCCGCATTACACCAGCGTCCCACGTTTGACCAGGCCAAGTCCACGAATACCGTGAGACGTGTGCCTGCCACTAGGTGGTGAACGGCGAGTTGGTGGACTTGCTGCGCGCCGACGGGCCAAAGGACCAGTTGTCACTGCCGCTGTCAGGGGCGGGCGACGGGCGGCGCGGCGGCGGTCGCTCGTCCCTCTCGGGCCGCGCCGGCGGTCGCTCGTTCTTCTCGCGCCGCGCCGGCACCGGGGGAGTTTGGCTGCGAACGGGACGCGGCTCGCCGGTCATCCCACCGCTGGGGGACCGCGAGCGCTCGTAGTCGCGCACCACGCCGCCCCAGATACGGCTCCAAGTGGAGGTTTTGGCGGTGCGCGGCCTGGCCGGCGAGTCTTGAAGCTCGACGTCGCTCTGGCGGCGCCACCGCCAGTTCTCGGCCTGATGCAGGTTGTTTGGGGGCTCGGCCGGCTGGTGAGCCGTCTGCTTCTGTTCGGCGACGGTCCGCTGCGGTGCCGGCAGCCCGACAGATTGAACGGCGCCCCGATGCGCCAGCACGGCCAGGCCGACCAGCAGCAGCAGTGTCAGCAGGCAACTCAGTGTCACCAGCAGGACCATGAACGGCGAACTGAGCGGCAAGCCGGGCGGCTGGGCGGCGATGGCAGCAGACGCTGCCGCAGGGGCTACATGTTTCGCTACATTGTCTATGTACTTGAGCAGAGCCTTCGTGTCATTCCCTGTATTGATTTGCAGTTGGCAATTTGTATAGCTCCCCAACTCTTGGTTTCGACTGATAAGTTCACTCAGAACAGAAGTGGTCAGTACCTTGGCCGTTACTCGATCCAGGACCAACGCGGAATTATACAACGTTTGTTTCACCGCGGTCATGTTGCATTTCTCCGAGTCAGTCTCCAGCGACATTCGCGCTGGAGGAAGTCGTTCCCGTCTGATTCGGGCGACGAGAGAGCGCAGCGTCGGAGAGCGTGCCTTCAACTTCAAGACTGCCGCCTGCATCCGGACAGAGGGCATCAATCCTGACGGGGGTACCCAGGCATCGTTTACCGCCTGCGTGAGGTTGCCCAGGTTGGCGTCCATGGTATCCACCGCTGCCCCGATCATCGTGACCAGGCTGTTCTGCGAGGACGGCGTCGCCAGATGAACCGGGACAGAAGCTGTCGGGGAGAGACGCAGTGCGTGATGAGTCGCGCTAGCGCGCGCTCCCTTGCCGGTGCACCCCACTGAGAGCGATGGGATAATGGCCACCAGTCTGTGCGTCCCATGTCAGCGTGTCTATGCATTGCCGCGCGAAGTGCACAGCAACTGTACGAAACGGATCTGGTATATGCTTGGTAGACTATAAGCATGGCTATGCTATTAAGATGGAAGCTAACGAACATTAGTTGCATAAATGTGCCTAAGGTGGAGGAGAAACATGCGTTTTTGGAACGCGCAACGTTCAACTATTGGACAAAGCTGCCTGACACCTCAGAATAAACGCGTGCAAAATTGGAATCATCAGAGATCTTTGGATTTCAGCAACCTCATTTTCAGATCACATGTTATAAAATGTCCGTACAACGGGGTAGCTATGGGATCCGCTCTGTTCGCAAAAACACGTGTTGTTCAAATAGAAAACGTTAGAATCTCACTCCACTAGTGCTCGTGTCCATATCCTGAAAGATGTGGGACTAATTAGTTATGCAAAACCGTCGCGAGCTATATGACACTTTGTCTGAACATAGGCATGCGATATGGGTCTCTGCGGCAAGCACCATACCTGGCTGCAGTCTGCACTAAGGTATACAATGAAGTGTCCCAAGTCTGAAGTTTTGTATTAAAGTGTAACATAAAGTGGCCGAAGTCCGAAGATTTTACGATTTTAGTGAAGTTTGGGTGGGACCACCCAGCCCAATGTCGTCAGTCATCGGACCAGGCTCTGCGGGAATTTGGATAGCCGCTCTTTGGCGATTTCCCGGATCCGCCATTGTCTACAGCGCCATTTCTTTCGCCCATTCCACACGGCGGGTTCCGCCTGGTGTTGGCACCAACAACGGCGTAGCCTAGCGACAGACACCCAACACATGCAAAAGCATCTCATCTAGCGCCGAGGTGCTGGTACCTATGGTTGTCAGATGGGCCTTAAAATTTGCACACATCATTTGAAGGTGCGCGACAACTCTTCCGGTGGTTGCATTTGCATTTTCCCAAGAATCGCTTCCCTCTAAAATGCGCATCTCGTTCGTACTTTCATCCCTACGGCCACTCATACTTCAGCGAAGCCAGCTGCTGATTCTGCAACACGATGACTCACTCAGCCGACAACAACGTGAATAGCTCGTGAGTTAGGTTACTGAGACACACTACGCGATTATGACTGAGACCAAACAAGTGCCAGGTGAGTGTCGCCTACTGTGAGAGCCGACGCTCGCGCACCTCGGAGGGTCACGTTGAATTAGGGGTTTACTCTAACGTCGCTACGGGAACGATGTGCTGCACTGAATCTCACAATAGAAAAAAGCCTCACAAAGCGGAATTTTGAATGCATTATTTGAAATTTCCAAAACAGCACAATTTCATCTCACAAAGTCCTACGATTTTACTCATCAACGTCACGTACGAGACATTTTAGCCCAAGCAGTGTCTTGCTACTGCTCCCCGAAGATCTCTCGGCCGATCAGAGGCGAGTAGAAGCCATCGTAGATGCGCACGCGTCGACTTTCTCTCTCCCTGCACTGACCTGAAAGCACGCTCAGCGCCAGCAGCGGCGGCAGCAGCCGAAACCGGGTCATGGCTGCCGGCCGACCCAGCTCCCTCTGGCGCACGGAGGCCGAGTGGCCACGCTATCGTCCGGTCCGCCCCGATAACCTCGCCAGACTGCAAAGGTCGGCGACGCACGTCGACCTGTCGGCAGCTAGCAGCAGGTGAGGCGCCTCCGCAGCCCGGTTCGAAGCTGGAATGACTGAAAACCGACCGATGGACGGCGCTTCAGCCCTCCGGCGCTATTCACTGAGGAACTGATCGGAGGCTCGCGAACGCTTTTTACGTCCGTTAGTGACGTGGCCTTGACCTTTACATCTTAGACAGATCGGACACAGCAAAAGCGAGGTCACTGCATAAATCGCTTTATGTCAGCAATTTACGTGTGCGTTCACCGCCGTAGCTACCGTGATTGGGCGACGTCGCGTCCACCGCGGCGACTGCCGTGATTGGGTGACGTCGCGTCCACCGCGGCGATTGCCGTGATTGGGCGACGTCGCGTCCACCGCGACAACTACCGTGATTGGGCGACGTCACGTCCACTGCGGCGACTGCCGTGATTGGGTGACGTCACGTCCACCGCGGCAGCTACCGTGATTGGGTGACGTCACGTCCACCGCGGCAGCTACCGTGAGTGGGTGACGTCGCGTCCACCGCGGCAGCTACCGTGATTGGGCGACGTCACGTCCACTGTGACAGCTACCGTGATTGGGCGACGTCACGTCCACCGCGGCGATTGCCGTGATTGGGCGACGTCGCGTCCACCGCGACAGCTACCGTGATTGGGCGACGTCACGTCCACTGCGGCGACTGCCATGATTGGGTGACGTCACGTCCACCGCGGCAGCCACCGTGATTGGGTGACGTCACGTCCACCGCGGCAGCTACCGTGATTGGGTGACGCCGCGTCCACCGCGGCAGCTACTGTGATTGGGCGACGTCACGTCCACCGCGACAGCTACCGTGATTGGGCGACGTCACGTCCACCGCGGCGACTGCCGTGATTGGGTGACGTCACGTCCACCGCGGCAGCTACCGTGATTGGGCGACGTCACGTCCACCGTCGCGACTGCCGTGACTGGGTGGTGTCACGTCCACCGAACCAACGGACTCCTAGCGCCCTTCGGCCCACTCCGTTTTAGCACACAACCGTAGCAATCCTGTCAGTCATTCTGACGTCACGCAGCGCGATAAATGAGGAACTGGGCGCTGTTAACTGCGGCGTGCCAATGCTGTCAATGAGAGGCGCCGAATCTGTCAGCTTTCGAAGCGGCCCCGGGTGTCGGCCGAACCAACCCGGGCCGGTGCGGGACCCTATCCGGGCCGGTGCGGTGCCCTATCCGGGCCGGTGCGGGGCCCTATCCGGGCCGGTGCGGTGCCCTTTCCGGGCCGGCGCGGGACCCTATCCGGGCCGGTGCGATGCCCTTTCCGGTCCGGTGCGGTGCCCTATCCGGGCTGGTGCGGCGCCGTATACAGGACGTGTCTGACGTGCTCCTGGCAGCCTTGTCAGCCGTCTGACGTCCTACTGCCAGCTGCCTGACGTCCTCCTGGCAGATGAATCAGCTGTCTGGCGTCCTCCTGGCAGCCGTGTCAGCTGTCTGAGGCAGACGTGTCAACTGTCTGACTTCCTCTTGGCAGCCGTGTCAGGTGTCTGACATCCTCCTGTCAGCTGTCAGGCGTCCTTCTGAAAGCGTGTGAGCTGTCTGACGTCCTCCTGGCAGCTGTGTCAGTTGTCTGGCGTCCTCCTGCTAGCTGCCTGACGTCTTCCTGGAAGCTGTGTCAGCTGTCTGAGGTCCTCCTGTCAGCTGCCTGACGTCCTCCTGGAAGCTGTGTCACCTGTCTGACGTACTTCTGTCAGCTGTCTGGCGTCCCCCTGGCAGCCGTATCAGCTGTCTGGCGTCCTCCTGTCAGCTGCCTGACGTCTTCCTGGCAGCCGTGTCAGCTGTCTGACGTCCTCCTGTCGGTCATATCACCTGGGATGAAGGCAATTAAGGCAAATAGCAAGGAACATCTTCAAGGAACAGCTCAAGCGTAGGGGAAGCTGAGATTGTGGGGGACCAATTTCCGTTTTAAAGTTAATTTTTTTTTCCGTTCATTCTCCTCGTGGAATGTCATATTGTTAATATGACATCCCACGAGAACAATGAGCCTCAATAAGCAATATGAAACGTTCGCAAAAAGCGGGAACCGCGACCAGGGATATAGCTAAGACGGTGGAAACCGCAAGGGCCCCCCACCTCGAATCAAAAAGCTGGTGGGTACCGGACACGGAGCGATTTTGCAGGAAATCAGCCCAAAATTGCAGGAGTTTGGAGACAATCTTGCAGAAGCCCCATCTCCGGATTAAAATTTGGGCTACGTGCCTGGCCATGGGTACCTGGCCGAGCTAATATGTGCCTATCGTAACTATTAGTTAAAGCCACGTTAGATAGACCCTTAAAAGACCACGATGCTGTTTTGTGTGCTATTTGCACACTCGACAAAAACTGCGCACAGTTAACGTGGCGCATTGGTTTGCGAAACATTTTCACTTGTAGCAACACTAGTGCTTTTCTAGAATATTTTTACTTGAGTCAGGGCTGCGTTGGAGCCTGCCGGACCATGTGAGGCTCACGGAGCGACGTGACGTCATCAGTGGGGACAGCATAAAACATCTCAGTTGACAGTCGCTAGGAGGTATATCACATGTCAGGTATGCGGTTTTCAAATGTTGTTTTCAGTTCCGGAGTTGAAGAAAACAAAAACTGCCCCCAGTTATGTACACGCACATCATTTCGAGAGCACAGTAAAGAAATGCGCAGCCTCTTCTGACGACAATTTAGCTATTTTTGGGCCGGTGGCTTGGTCCAAACATATGCGGAGGCAATTAGCCGCCAGCCACCGGGCAGTGGTTAGCGAACGGTGAATGAGCCGCCAGCTACCGGGCAGTGGTTACCGTACGGCGACAGGCGCGCACACCGAATGAACCAAGGTCCCGTCCCTTGGGGCCTGTGGCTCGGCTCGGCGCGACGGCTGGGTCGGCGCCTAGCGGTCCCTGAGGCGAGGAGGGGACGGAGGACGGGCACCAGCCCCCGGGGCGAGGAAGGGGCAGGGGGAGGGCACACGGGCCGACCGCCGAGGTAAGGTGTGGAGAGGGACGGCTGCCGACCTCAGTGGTGCGCAGTGAGCCGTCCCGCACGCCTGATGCTGCTGATCTGGAGCCTGCTGGCGGCCGGCCTGGCGGCGGCCCGGGCCGGCACCACCGCCGGCTGGACCTACGCCGAACAGGAGCACTGGCGGGAGCGGTTCCCGGAGTGCGGCGGTCGGATGCAGTCACCGATGCGGCTGCGGCCAGATCTGTTGTCGCTGGGCCGGCGGCCGACGCTGCGGCCCGCGGCTGGAATGGAGGCCGGTCAGGCACGCGCCACCAACACGGGCCGCACGCTGGAGCTGCAGCTGGAGCCGCGCAGCGCCGGCGCGCCCCTCCTCCAGCTCAGCTCCGAGCGCGCTCCGTTGTTCGGCGTCTACACGTTCGAGCAGCTGCACTTCCACTGGGGCGACGGGCCTGGCACGGCTGGCTCAGAGCACGTACTCCCGTACGACGCCTCCGCTGACGCCGAGGCCCACTTTGTCTTCTACAACAGCCGTTACGGAAGCTTCAGCCAGGCGGTGCGGCAGCCGGCCGGCGTGGCGGTCGTCGCGGTGCTGCTGGAGGGCTCACCGGAGCCGGAGCCGGACGCCGTGCCGCTGCTGACGCTGGGGCTCGAGCACCGTCTGCACGAGCTGGCCGCTCCCGGCAGCAGCCTGACGCTGGCGGCCGACCTCAGCGGCTTCGAGCCACTGCTGCGGCGCGCCCTCGCCAGCTTTTTCAGCTACAGCGGCAGCCTCACTACGCCCCCCTGCAGCCCATCGGTGGTGTGGCTGGTGTCGGCCCGCCTGGCGCCCGTCAGCCGGGCCTTCCTGCGCCGGCTGCCGACACACCTGTTCCAGGATCGACCGCTACGCACGCCGCTGCGCGACAACTGGCGGACCACACAGCCGCGAGACAGTCGCGTCGTCACCCAGCACATTGGCATCGAGTAATGCTGCCGGAGCTGCCCCCACAAACCGCCGAATTCTGCCGGAGCTGCCTCCACAAACCGCCGTAGGCTACCGGAGCTGACCCCACAAACCGCCGTATGCTGCCGGAGCTGCCCACACAAACCGCCAAATTCTGCCGGAGCTGCCTCCACAAACCGCCCTATGCTGCCGGAGCTGCCCACACAAACCGCCGAATTCTGCCGGAGCTGCCTCCATAAACCGCCCTATGCTGCCGGCGCTGCCCACACAAACCGCCTTATGCTGCCGGAGCTGCCACACAAACCGCCTTATCTGCCGGCGCTGCCCACACAAACCGCCTGAACTAGGGGATGGACAGCTGTGCTGATCAGACCAATTGGCGGCGGCGAACAGGAAAAGTGAATGTCCATCGATGCGGAGCTGAGAGATCTCGGGACAAGCATTTGCAGTGAGCTTGCTTTTGGTGCGAGTGCAAGATTGCACCTGCACTTTGGTTTCCCTACTGAACAGTCAAAACTGTGAATCGGTCATTTCCATTCCTATAGGGGTTTTGCGATGGATTTCAAATGTTCACAACTTTGAGTCATCCCGTGATCTACTCATCAATTGCTCAGATTGGTTCGCTGTGACCCCAGACGTGTCGTTATGTACCGATGTGTATTCCTGTGTATATTGTGGAATACACCCTCTAACATTATCACGCCAAGGCCGGATGATTTTTATGAGATGGATTTAGGGAGCCTAGCCGCTGACCATGTATACGGTTGCGTGGTCACAGGTAATAATCGCCTTCACAAAATGGCCATCGCTGGCAGGAAGGTGAAACAAAATATGAGCCAACGCGGTGTTTTCCGGCTCTTGATCCCGGTTACGGCGCATGTAGCGGCGCCATGTAGGTGAACGCCAGGGGGGGGGGGCGGGGGGGGGGGGGGGGTACTGGGCTACAACGTGCACGAGGCTACAGGTGTGCAAATCGCCTCCATGGTCAAACGGCATCTGGAGAGGTCAAAAAGGATATTTTCAAACGTTTCTAGCG